CAAGGCTCCCGGCAATCTGCTCCGCCACAACTTTCCACCATCTAATTCGAGACCACAAATCATCCAAATATTTTCCTCCCAGTGCGGACCCGACAGTCTAACGTCGCTTTCGGAGCCCATAAAACAAGTTTGTGAAGCAGCATCCAGCAAACCCTTTCCCCCGCTCTCGGAACCCTCAAGACCATGCCCGTACCCTCCTTCCAAGGGTTACTTGAAGACTCCATGTCAGCCATTTGCACTTGCTCAACGCTTACCCGCTAGAAGTTTTCAATCGGGGCAGCTGCATAAGCTTCAAGCAAAATTCTGGTCCACTGCTCCATCTTGTTGCGATTGACAATGCGCGCCTGATCTAACGCCAGCCTTCGACGCTGGAGAGCATACTTGAGACATAGGTCAGCGCTAGTATCAGCTTGATCTCCTCTCTCACCTTGACTTCACACATGATGCCCTAACTATCTGGCTTTCAGGTAGGGTCGCTCTTGGTCCCCATCAGCTCCTGATCCCTCTTTGTACATTGTTCCCACCGGATGTATCAGAGGGCGTCGTCTTCCAACATCTGGAAATACCGTGTCTATCAAGGCATGTGAAGGTTCTAGCTCACCTGTCAAGTCAAGACTATTCAAGCGAGTAACTTGAGATGCGTGGCGGGAGGCTCTCTCAGCTTGCGCCAAGCGCCTAGGCTCATCACAGTCTTTCCTATCAAGGCGGCTCCGCATGTCAGCTGCTGCCAAGGTGTAGCTTTCGAAGAACAACCGCCTGAGGGGTGGCACTTTAGCACGAGGTGGATCTTCTTGGCAAATCTTGACCGTCAAAGCCATGAGAGTAAGCTCATTGGCTTGGCCAGTGTATCGACCGACTTTAAAGAGAAAACTTCGCAGCTTCATGCTCTCATCAACATAAACAAAGCAAGGAAGAACGAAAAACTTGTTACTTTTTATTGCCCTGATGGGTTTGTGTGCATGGACATCCGATGCGCAATTTGTTGCATGCACAGTGACCGCCTCAGGCCTAGCCCGACTGAAGTCCACGCCTACTTCTGCTGGACATCCCAGCTGGTTTGTCTTCCTGACAGTCATGCACGCCAAGTACCGCGACGTCAGGTGTGGCTGACACGTGTAGAACAACATCACGAATGGGCACAGTTTGCATCTTCACCAACACACCCACCCACCTCACCCTCTTGAGCACAAGCCATGACGTTCGCAAGCTCACTTCGCATTTGAGCAACAATGACCCATAATCAGGATCAATTGGATTCTTAAATTTGTTTGCGCTGCTCTCCTGATATTCTGTGGTTTGAAAAGGTGTGCCACCCTCAGTACCCCAGTATGTAACTCTCCTTAGAACATGCCCCATGTTCAGTTACAAAATCCTGACACACCGAAAGTGCGGTGCAAACGCGCACGCGCACACAGACATACACACGCACACTCGAGACTGAGTACGTATGAAGGCCGCCGAAAAGAGAAGAGAACTGACAGCGCCAGCGATACAAATGGGCAGCCCAACCACTTCCCTTCCAGTGACCTAGCTTCATTGGATCAGGTGAGGCGCCCAAACGTCGTCGTCAAGCAAAACCTGGGGGGCCTCAGGCTGTTTTGACGTGTAAGTAGGTGTGCACAGGCGCGCTAAGGCCCGAGCAAATGTGCAACAAATAGGGAAAGGGATGCAAGGGAGAGACACGAAGGCAGGAAAAACATGAAACCCAAGCAAGGAGAGTATGTGGTTGCGAATGAAGGGGAACCAGACGGAAAGGGAGCAACCTTCAAAACCTGGCGGACCTTGCCTGGTTCCGCATGTGGTCACCTGACCTCGAATCAATCCTACGGCCGTTACGGCCTGTTAAGCCATGTCGAAACGACAGGGATTCAGGTCGACCAGCTCGTCTTAACTCACCTTTGCTGTAAAGCTGTTGCGTCCTCTTTGGACTGCTGCATCCATCATTACGACGGAAACTGCACCCCCAGTTCAACTGGGCTACGAAGGAGGCACACTCAAGATTACTGTAAAATACTGTAAATACAAACGGAGGCATTGGTGAAGTGGGCCATCTTACTAACGCAGCGGAAAAACAGCCACAGCACATTCAAAAGGAATGGCTTTGCCTCACATTGGATTGATGCAGCGGTGACACAGAACTGTGGAAAGGATGGAAAGCCTCCTGTTGAAAGCCTCCTGTTGCATTGAGCGAGGCAAAAGCTCTAGAAGTCCAGTAGGGCATCGGCAGGGTAAGTTGAGTGACTCTATGAACAACTGTCCATTCTCTGAACCACCGTCCCTTTTGCGCTTGGTCTTGGTCTCAAAGAGAAATTTCAGGTGTCCCATCCCAGCGCTTGGTCTCCCATTCGTCAAGTCTCCCATTCATGAAGTTGACGATTCTCGGTGGGTCGAAGATTTCGAACTCCGGCGCGGCCATTCGCTCGGGAAAGCTGTCAGGCCGGTAGTCTGAATGGTAGAAGTTGAAGACCGTTGGAGCGGCATACGGCAATTGTCCCATCAAGTCCTGGAGGTCCCCCAAAACCACTGGCCGGTCCTGGAAACGAAGCTGAACTCTGACGTGTTGAAAGCGCACAGATCACACAGATCATGGGGGGAACAAAGCCTGTGGGAACCAGTTTAACAAAGCCAAATTGCACTCCTTGAGGTCTCTATACTCCAACGAGCGCATCAAATGAACCAGTTTCAGAATGGGCTCCCGAAGCGCGCCCTCCGTGCGGGCCAAAGGCGACCCGCCCTCACGGTGCAGCAGAATCGCTGCAAGGGTCGCTGCCAGGTCTCCATAGCGACCAGAGTAGGTCTTCCCATTGTAGCTTCCTCGATTTACCACACTGAGGGGTTGGGGAAACCAACCAAATGCCCGACGCTGATTTGGAGATGATTCACAACCTGCAAAAAACTGGTTCCTATTTGTTGCCAACACAATGGTGTACAAACATGAACGGTTGATTGTACTGATCTGATCATAATGACAAACTTGGTGTTCATCTTTTCCGGGTCCCGTTTCATTCGGGAAGCAACTCCGTTGCCACAAAGCAAATCGCAAGTGAATGACTAGATTGCTCTTCCATGCTCTTCCGTGAAATTATGCAGTTGCTCACATGGCATGCCATGAAATGTGCGGTGGAAGACAAACGGTTCCCATGTGTAGCCGTGCAGCCTATTTATACAATGTCTACTTCTGAAAGAAAAGTGCGATGGAGCGGAATTTGCTTGCACCACAGGACTTGAACAAATATCGCTGGATGATCGACAAGTCTTTCAGTGTCTCTTAATTGCCATGCCTCCTCTAATTTAGTTATATATATATATATACAGACAGCTTTAGATTTGTTGTGGTTTTGATCTTGATTTCCCGAAACCAATGCCCCACGTCTCCTGTCTTGAATGCATTGGCCACAGCAAGGATGTATTCCTGAGAGGGACTGCTGGCGCCAAAGCGCTGGATCAGCAAGCGGCTGATGAAGGGGGCCTAAGGGGGACGCGACATGGACGGCAGAACCTGCTGCGGTCCAGAGTTCTTCTGCGGAACATCAGGATGTTGAGGTTCCTTCAACCAACTATGATCATGTACCGGGGGCAAAGTCTCAGTGACAAGTAGAAGCAACTCTGGAACTCTTGATGTTTGGGATGGCATGGTTTGCCCCCCGAAGACTTCCCTTTAAACAAAGGCCTGCAGCTAATAAAGATTTGTAGGACATACAACGTACGAGTACAACGCCTTCAGACGTGGAGATAGGGAATCTTCTCAATGGAACTGCAGAACCAAAACACCTCTTGCACTCAGCAAATCAGGATAATCAGGACGTAGTGCCTACTTTGTTTTCTCGACTCCCCAAAAGTGAACCCTTCATTCCAGCAATCTTTCTCAAAAGGAACCCAATGATGGCTGATGGCTTATCAAAAACTAGGTCAGCATAGACCCCAAATAGTTTCAGCACTATTTTTTGGTGAGGAGCACAAGAGAAGGACAAGAGGAGGAGAAGAAGACAAGAGGAGGACAGACGACAACAGGAGGACAAGAAGAAGACAAGAGAAGGACACGAGGTTTTTGTTTTGTTTCGCTCGCGGCATCGCTCAGACGCCTGCGGGGCTACGTCTCTTGAGGACGGCCGTCAGGCTGGGCCCGCTCCTTCGGTAGGAGCACTTCCAAAAAAGCTAGGCTGGCCAACTAGCATCGAGCTGGGCCAGAAAGTCAGCTAGTCCCTGGTCTAGGGAGTCTGGTTCTTCCAGGCCTTCCCAGACCTCGCGCCGCTGCAGCTCAGTGCCAAAAGCAGCAGCGCTCTCTCCGGCAGCAGCGTAAAGCTCAGGATCCGCCGCTTCTTGAAGCGCCTCGTTGAGGGCGGTGTTGTCCGCCAAGGCCCATTGGATCCTCTCGCTGGGCCGCAGGCGCAAATCAAAGATCGAGCCCATCGGTTCCAGCTCTCGGGGCCTCGGCATTGAAGGTGGGCCCATAGGAAGGAGACCGTTGTGGCGTTGAGCCAGCAAGCGTTCTGCTGATTGATGAGCTTCCACCCCATCACCGTTGCCAGACCCTGGTCTAGGTAGAGCGGCCACCTCGACCCTGACCTTTGAGGATTTGGCTCACCAGCTGCGTCGGACGGACCATGTGTTGGCGGAGTCTGGCTTCCACCAGCATCCAGACTGAGTTGTGACTCAGCCACAGCAGGGTGTCGTAGAGGTGATTGTCCCGCAAACTGACCTGGATCAGGTAGGGGATCACTGTCTTCTTGGAGGTCTGTGGGGGCTGGAGGCTCTTGAAGCGCAGGAGGAGTGCCGGATTCTTCATGCATTCCAACAGATCCTCCAAGGCTTTCTGAATCTTCTCCCCCTTGATAGGGGTCTTGTTGGGCAACACTTGAAGCTTCTTCTGCGTCGGATCCCACTGCAGGAAGGGCCACAATCCCTCTGGCGTGATGAGGTTCTGCTGTATCGCCTTCTGCCACAGTGGATCTTGGTGATCCTTGGATTGGAGCTTCGTGAAGCGGTCGAGGATCTCTTGGATCACCATCTGGCCCAGAACCACGCGGAGTGGTTGCGTGGTGGTGCCCTTGGTCTGCTGGTCTTTCCACTGTTGGGTGTGCTGCAGGATGTTTGGCATCAGAGACACGGGGCCTGCTGGCAAGAAGAGCAGAAATTGGTCTGTGCTGGCCAGCGCCTGCAATTGTGATTCGTGTCTCAGCGACAGCGAGATCAGCTGTCCCACTGTCTGTTGGAGCGCCACCAGTTGTTGCATCTGGGGCTGGTGGGTGTCCGGGTGTTTGTTTTTGCCTTTTCCCTTGCCCCTGCCCTTTCCCTTCTGGTGCCCGTCGGGTCGATCCTCTGCGTCCTCCTCCGGTTTGGCTCGCTTCAGCGGTGGGCGGGCAAGGAGTCCGCCCACCGCATCCTGGACCTGCTCCATCCAGTCGGTGTCCTCCATGTAGTCCATCTGATTGACTCGCCCGGAGGTAGTGGGCCAGGTTCAGTGCCACAGGACACTTGTCCGGAATGTCTTGAGCCCGCATACACCACCGGCAGCAACCCAAGCCAGGGCATTGCACTTGGTCATACATGGACTGGATGAGTACATGATCGATGGGATGGTTGTTGTCCAGCTGGCTAGGGAGGTCGTCCACCGGCAGGTGTTGACATGCCAGACAGTGCTCTTCGAGGCTCGGGCGCAGGTGCGGTTGGCGCCAAATGGTGGCATAGTTGGCGGCAGTGAGCAATGCCTTCAGGTCAGCCGGTACCTGCGGTCGCAGCAGTGGCTGAAAGAGATGGCCCAATACGCCAGCTTGCAAGATGACTGGACATTTGTGACCCGATCTGGCTGTGCGTGGCACCGGGCAGTAGCAGTGTGGGGCATCTGGAGGAGCCTGACTGTAGGCGTGTTGGATCCAGGCCTGGGCTGCAGCCATGGTGTCGGCATGGCCGTGATACATGTGCTTGGCTATTCCCGTGGTGTTTTGGATGCGTCTGCCACAAAGGCCGCATTGTTGTTGGAGTGCATCCCTCAAGCGGGGATCTGTCAGCCAATCTGAGGGCTTGCCGCGAGCACATAGCTGCTGAACCCATTGCCATTGTTGGGGGACGTGATCACCAGCCCCCCTGTTCGCATCGAATCTCTTGCAGGCCAGGGATTCCACATGCATGCGGAGACCATAGAAGTTGTTGAAGGTGTTGCCGCAGTGGGCACATTGTGTGGTGCCATTGGCTGAGTCACGGGCCGGCTGGAAGGTGGCTTCGGTGACTTCGGGGCCAGCCTGGGCACGTAGGGCTGTCTGGGAAAGCTTCCCTTGGGATGGTCTGGGAGGGGCAACCAGTTCATCCACCACTTCATGGCCTCTCATTTGGTGGTGTTCAAGGTAAGCCACTATGGCCAGTTGACTGGCCGCCGGGCAGGAGTGGAGACGATTGGTGTTGTTGCCACAACCAATGCAGGGTCTGCTGGTGGTGACGGCTCTAGCAATAGGGCTGAGGAAGGCCTGTGCAGCATGCCAAACCTTGTGGCGCATTCGGCTCAGGTGTTCATGGATAGCCGTGCCACTAGGTTGCCACTGGGCACAGAGGATGCACTTGTTCCGTATCAGGTCCAGTAGCCGTGGCACACTCACCACCCCCAGCCAATCCTGTTGTCTGGCTGCCTGTCGGAGTTCAGGATCATCGGCTGGACATGGACGGTCCTGCAGGGCGGCATCGAATTTCAAACATCTGCCCAGGGAGATGTGCTTGACAAGGCCTGACCAGAGCTGGAACTGGCCGCCGCAGTGTCGACATTGCGGCATGTCACCTGCAGCATCACGAAAGATTCGAAACGGTTGAGGAGCCATCTTTTGTGCAGGATGGTTTCGAGTGATGTGTTGCATCAGGGTCATGTGCATGGCATGCATGTCGAACAATGCGGGCATTGCCAGCTGACTGGAGGAGCCTCTGCGTCGACTGGCTGCTTAGGCACCAATGCCTCCAACACAGTATCACAGTGCGATGCATACAGCAGTGTGTGCAGGAAATCATCAGGTGCCAATGTGCTGAGGAGGCCTGTGCGATCAACTCTGAATCTGGTCCAGGCATCGCGAAGGAAGTCCCTGATGCTGGGAACTCCCAATCGAGAACGCAGGGCCTCAGTGGTTTCACGTGTGATGTAGGAGGGTGAACGTGCGATTCTGCGGAGATCTGTGGTACAAACTGTCTCAAGCAAGTCGACTCCTTTCGATGTCATGCCACTGGCGGCCAAGCCGTAGACATACGAGGCCCGGACACAGCTCGTCCACAGGCGGACTCGACTCCCCAGGCTAAACGCGTGCCCGTGCCGGCGTTGGAAAAATGCTCTAAGGCGAGTGTAGGTCAGTCGACCGACATGAATGCGGTGCTTTAATGTCTGCATCTCAAAAGGACCATAGCTGATCTTGGTTCCTAGATAGGTGTGCTGTGAGACCCATGGGATGAGGCAATCCCCTTGTTGGCGGGGCACAATGAGGTAGCGGCCTCCTTTGTTGTGTTTGGTCCATCTCTTGAATAGTCCCGCCACCTTCGAGCCCGACATCCGAAGCAAACAGGCAGTCTTCCGCAGATTGACCACTAGTTGATTGGCCTCAAGGACATCAAGGAGATGACCGATGTCTATCAGTGCTCGGGGGAGATCCTCAAGATGGTCAAACTCCCATTTCAGCACTAAGTCATCAGCATACGAGATTAGATGGGCCCTCAACCACTCCAGCGGCTGGTCAATGCTAGCAAGAAATTGCATTAGAATGTCAAGCAAACAAACGTTCCACTGGAGGGGCGAGGCCACACAGCCTTGGCGTGTTCCCCTGGTGGGTACCAACTGGCAGGATTGACCCCGGTGGTCAATGTGATACGCTGCACCATGCAGCCAGGCCAGGAGCAGGACTTTAAGGTCGGGGGGGCAGTTTACCTGATCTAGTCCAGGACCTAGTCTATCACGAGGCATTCGATCGAAAGCTTCAGAAAGGTCCAAGCTCAGACACAGTCCCCCTCCTATTCGACGGGGCGCTTCCCCTGCTCGTCTCTGCCACAAATTTTTCATGGCGCTCTGACTCCTGGCACGAACAGCACGGCAGTGATGAAAGACCGCTATTAAGGCATCTATCGTGGATCTATTGGGTAAGTAGCCTAACAATGGAGCTTGACAGAGACTTGGCAAAACATGCGGCCGGACCTTCTGCATCAAGGTTTGAAGCACACATTTGCCCAGGACATCCGTCAAGGCGATAGGCCTGACATCTTTCGGGGTCTGCACTGCCCTTTTTGCAATTAGGGTTAGCCAGGCCGCCTGCCAGTGCTGCGGAATCGTGACCTTACGATGGCACCACTCACGAACGAGCAACTGATGACAGATCTGGGCAAGGTCATCGGCTAGGCATCTGACCACGGCAGGTTGCAGGGAGCCTGGAGCCACTGCCTTGGTCAAAGGAACGCGTGCCAGATTGTATCGGAGATCATCTGCAGTGAAAGGCATGCTCGACAGACGGACAGATGGGCCAGGCATCTGAGGGGTGGACCCACAGTAGACGGTCTCGAAATGCTGTCGAAGGAGGTCCAGTTCGACCTCAGGGCTTTGGGCTAGCCCTGTGGCTGTGCGGAATCTAATTGGCCGAGACGGCTGCTTAGGGCTAAGTTCACGGACTATCATGTGGAGTTGACGTTGATCATGAGCCCTATCGGCCTGCGCGGCTCGGTGCATTTGCTCTTGGAACCGATCCTGCTTCTGTCTGTGGGCATGAACAGTCATGGCTTTATGCAGTCGACTATGGATGGTGGCGTGAGTCCAGGCTTGGAAACTCGAACGAAGGTCAGTGACTACCAAGCGCCTGAGCTGATGATAGTGAGACCACATGGTGGCGGCATACCTGTGACTGGCCGGGTGTCTCCAATCAGGTTCAGTGCGGCAGGGGGGACAGGTGGGGATCCAGTAGTCATGCGACCAGTGACTGACCTGCTCAAGAGTCGACCATGTCGGATGCTGAACTTGCAGGCGGGCCTGGGCTTGAGGCACGAACTCCTGCCAGGCGTCATCTTGTGCCCGGTAGTGCTGCTGGAGGTCCTGGCGTTGGTGCCAAGTCCAGCGTCGGTTCCGAGTCGTGGGAAGCTTACGCCAGACCTTCCAGTGGACAGGAAGACTGCTTAGGATCGGCATATGGTCACGGAGTGCTCTCCACCCTGCCACCGGGAATGACTGAAAGACTCGGCTTTGCTTAACCTGGCTATCCTGTTGACATCGTCTCATGAGGACATGATCAATTGTGGACTTGCCTCCAGGACCTTCGAAGGTGTGTGCATGGTCATAGGGCCGAACCGTTGCAAGCGTGTGCTTGCGGCAGAGCTCACGAAGTTCCCAGCCATCCTGCGGTTCATGGGGTTGTTTGTGGAGGTCAGTATTGAAGTCTCCAGCTACAACAAGAACATTCCTGATAGGGAGGTGTGTGAGGATGGTGTCCAAGGAGGACCAGACCTCAGCTCGGCTATCAAATGGCTTAGCTCTTGTGGAGGTGACTTCAGTGGTGTATTGATATACCTGGACTATTTCGAGAGTCGTCTGAGCCAGCCGGCATTTGACATGCTGAACTCGACCAGGTGTGGGCGAGGAACTTGACAGGTCCTGTTGGCCGCACAAGCGATGGTGAACCAGGGTCAACAATCCTCCATGGTCTCTACGGTCCTCTGTCCCGGCCGAAAGGGCCCAATACCCATACGTGCTCCAATCTTTGGTGAGATGCCAGCGTGTGCCCTGAATACATGCAATGTCAACCGCATGATGACTCAAGTACACCATGAGCTCTTGCCAAGTGGCGCTGGTGAGCCCTCCTGCGTTCCAGGACAGAAAGGAGCAGCGTGGCCCGCCAGTCTTCTGATGCAAGGTCTCAGGCCGGTTCAGGAAGGGAAAAGTCGTCCAGGTCGCATGCAGGTTGGAGCCGCTTGACATCAAAGGAGATGCTGGGACGTCCAGGGGTGGTGTCAAACAGCTCGGCTGGGTGGTCATCCACAGGCGGCCTTTGTATGAAGTGCAGCCATCTCTCAGCAGGCGGTGCACCGCTTTCCTAAAGCTCTTCTTCGTGCTCCAGGTTGAGCTGAGCCCTTGTGCCCCGGTGGGGCCTACTATTTGCCCTATTCCACAGTTCTTTTGGAGGGTACCAGGGGTAACGCGACCGGCCGGGTCTCCTCCTCCCTCTGTCGTGGACCAGAGGAACCCTCACCTCTCATGGACCAAAAACTTTGCCAAGACTCGCTGAGGCACCGTGGTCCACGCCCGGACTTGGGACCGGGATGCCCAAGAAGCAGCCAACCGATCAGCAGCAGCTGGAAGAACAAGCCAGCGGCCACCATTCAAAGTCGTGCGAGAGCGTGTGGCGGGATCGAAACCCCGCTACTGGGGGGCTGGCATGTTGGCCATCTTGAGCATAGAGGCTTGAAGGACACGAGGAGGACACAGGGTTGGCCAGCGCGGCCAGGGGGCAATAGCAGGACAACTGCGAGCACAAGGAGGACAAGAGAAGAAGAGAAGGACATGAGAAGGACAAGAGGAGGACACAGGTTGGCCAGCGTGGCCAGAGGACAACAGCAAGACAAGACCTGGACACAAAGCCCGGACACAGAGTTCAGGGCCGCGGCCAGCCAGTGTGGCCAGCTCCTGTTTTCCTAAGAAGGACCCCAACAGTAAACTGTTTGGGACAAAAACAATCACACTAAAGTAACTCGCTATCCTAAAGCTTGCTTCACCGCAAACTATGCACCAAACATGTGAAGGCTTCTTTCCGCTTGTGAATCTCAGGAGCTGTATTTGGGTGGTGGAAGAGATGGTCGAGAAGCTCCTCCACCTCTGCCAAGGCATGCCTCAACAGGGGCAGCAGCCAGAATACTGCTTTGTCTATCGGTGATCGGCGAGCAAAAGGAACCGACACTCGTTGCGACAGAACCAGCAGTACCGATGTTGAGGCGGGTTCAGCGAGATCTGTTCTCAAGCCATCTAGCCCACATTGCTAAGCCCTGCAAATCTTCGAAAACTGGACTTGAAAGGGACAGGTCGGACAGGTCCCCGTGGTATCTGAGGTGCGGTCACCTCTCTCACAGCCCCACCGTGAACCATTGCATGTTGAAAGCAAAGAAAAAATGACAATGGCCTCCAACCTACTAGCGCAGTCCCATCGTCGTCCACAGCCGTCAACGCGCCTTGGGCGCGCACCGCTCCTGGGCATGAAGACCGGCGGGTTTCTGAACTCAAAGCCGCCGTGGAAGACCACCAGATTTTCCTCGGTGGGGTCACGCATGGCGAAAGGTCGCCGCATGACCGGCCATGGCGTGGCTGACTTCAGATTGCAATCTGCCCGAGTATGACATGACAAGCACGAACACATGCACAAGCACACGAGGAAGTGAACACAAACTGCTTCCTTCAGCCCGACAGAGTATCCTTGTTGCTGTAGAAGTTGCCCTGATACTCAAAAACTGTATTTGCATCGCCAGACCCGTAGGCACGCACTTCACCACCACAGCTGGTACACCGATCTTCAGTGGGAGGGTGTGCGCCGATCTTCAGTTTTGCCAGCTCAGATGCCGTGGGAGTAGTCGCGAAAACTGGTCGAACTTCCAACGTCACGTTACACGAGCAAACTGTTCCAACCGCAAAGCAACCACCTGGGCAAAATCCCTCCTGTACCTTTGGCCAACGGCCATCCTTCCAGTTCACCGAGAAGGGGTTGAACTTGCTGAGCTTCGTAGAATTGGAGCTAACGGTTCCATCTGGATATACCACCACTTGCTCTGTGCATGCTTCGTCAATCCAAACATGCGCTCGGTCATAATCACAACCCTTGCCTCGCAGGTTCCTCCGACACAAGGGCAGCCCCAGCGCTTTGCAACGCGCCTGGGCTTCCTTGAAGGACACAAACTCGCGTCTGTATTGACATGGCCGTACCCCAACGAATTTACCATAGGAGCAGTTGTAGCCGTAGCCAACTCCCCTCTCCCAACAATGGAGTTCGCAATATTTATGGTAGCTCCAGTCAGGGTCCTCGATGCGCCGGCTTCGGCAGAAAGGCTTTCTCGAAAAAGCGCTTTCAGAACCCTCTCAAGTCCCAACACGGAGAGAAGACCCACCACACGAAAACACAAAAGCTTCTTGGTCAAAATGCGAAGGGCGTGGTTGCACTTCTCTGTATACATCTCAGGCCACGCGCGATAACTATGACAATGCAAACCCTTGGCTCTCATCTCATCGGTGCGAAACCATTTGAAACATCCATCGCAGCACTCAAATCCCATCTTCTCGTGCTCCACATCGCGGCATTGGGCGTCTGTCGCCCAGTTTTCGCCCCCGTGTCGTGAGTACATTCCAGAGAAGAAGTACAAGTTCACACAAGTGGGCTCCAAATATTCGTAGAATCCACCTCAAATCGGGGGATTGTCGTTTGGTACATGATTGAATACTCGGCTTGACCGTCGCTAAACACCGCTCGCTCGGCACCGCTTGGCCTGAAACATTCAGGAATTTGACCTCCTTCGCTTCCAGCGTGCATTCCGCTCCTGTAGCGCAGGTGTGTGTCGGGTGTCGTGTCGACATGTTTCCAAACATGTTTCGAAGAAAACCGTACGGAGGCTTAGTGAGTCCAATGAAAGCTTAGTGAATGCAAAGCACTTAGACCCAGACCCAAAAGGTTAGGATGTTGGAATCAGAACTCTGGTCCACTCCTCATGTCATGTATTGGATATAGGACTCGAAACAAACCCAACAATCCCCAATCAACTCGATTGCGCAAACTGCACTGGAAGGAAACACTGACATGGGGATTAAGCATGATTTAGGATGATTTAGCCACTCTTGCCTGCACCCTTCCTCTCTACATGTGCTACGTCACACTGCACGCCATTTAGGGTAGGTAGGGGTAAGTGAGATCTTCTCCACCCATTAGATGGGGGTCCAGGATTGCTTCCTGAAAGTCTCACTTCCGAGCTACAGGTGAAAGTGGAAAGGCCAGGCGTGCAATGGGTGTGGCTTCACCCGCGATGATGGTAACAAGACTCCACAAACAGAAAGACATCCCCAATCTAAAAGACATGTTTTGGGTTCTGCCATCTATTAAACTTACTAAACCATTCAAGTTCGTGGCTTCCGCCTTCCACTTGCTGCACCGAGTCACCATGACAAGCCAGCGTGTCTGCCAACTGGACCGTGAGATTGTACCTGCAGTGACCCGAGCTCCCTGAGCTTGCGAAGCAAAGGGCTTGGTAGAGCTCGGAGGTGGGCTCGAGGCGAAGCACCTTGAAATCCTCTCCGGGCAACTCCTCACATCGAAGGGGAGCCAGAAACTGCCCATTGATTCAACCACTAGACACACACCTTGGCACCAGGTTGGCTCTTTGTTCTTGATGTTGAAAGGATGCATATCCATGTTTGGGTGAACTCATGTTGAACTCTTAGACGTGTTTTCCGAGGATACAGTGGGGAACTTTGAGTCTTCGCGGCTGTTCGATCCAGTTCTGACACCCTCCACAAGCGGGCAAAGCTATGTGCCTGCAAGGCGTAGACTTGAAAGTCCAACTCACTTCGACTTCGACTTCAAGTATTCGTGTGCTCAAGATCTATAAGCATGAGACCACAACAAAACAGATTGTCAAAACAGAGATGATGACATCTGAAATTGATTAACAAAAACAGAGGTGCATGAAAAATGACAAAAATGACATCTGAAAAAAATTATCAAAACAGAGATGCTCCCATCCTTACCCACGAAGTTGTAGCGCGCGCCCTGTGCCAGAAATGAGCCTTCTGGCGCTTCGGAGCAAATGGGGTAGCCATCCCCAAGGTAGCCGCCATTGAGGTTCGTCTTGGGGTAGATGTCATGGTGCCACTCATTCATTCTCATCGGATCAATCCTGCATGGCAAGCAGCTTTTCACTGAAAACATGGGAAGATCCATTTTGGGATAAACCTGCTGTACTGTGATATCGGCGGGATAATGGTGCTAGCCGTGGCACCCAGGAATGTTGTGATGGATGCCGGTCTGTTTTGGGCTGTCAAACGCAGTAAGCAAGGGCTCAAAGTCGGACCAAAGAAAGAGGCGGAGGTACCCAGTAACCATCGATTCGTGGTCCTGGGAATGTTTGTGGGAGGGGCACTACCGCTCACTCAACAAACTGGCGGCGCAAAAGGAAGCAGATCCAAAGTTGAGAAGAGCCCAAGAAGCTGAAGCAGAAGGAGAGAAGGAGACAAGAAAGAATAAGAGAAGGTGAGAGACGCTTGGAAGAAGCGATGTTGGTTTCAGGCTTGGTAGAGAAGAATCTCAAATCAACACCAGAGATAGAAGAAATACTCGACGGCAAGGGGAACTGATCAATGCTTGGAGGAAACTGATGATCCAAAAGCTGAAGAAAGCGGCAAAAGACCTCAAACAATCATGGGAGGATGTTCAGGAAAGTCTGAAGGAAGATCCATGGCGGAGGAAGAAGAAGAAGCGGGAGAAGAAGAAGCAGGAGGAGGAGAATCATACCGGAAGGACATGACGGAGATCGAATCCTCCAATGGCGTGCACCAGGAAGGAGTTGGAAGCACGACACAAGAATCTCCCGGACCAGCTGGAGAGGGAGAGGGAGAGGGAGAAAGGGGAGAGGAAAGGGGAGGGAGAGGGAGAGCGAGAGGGAGAGGACGGGGACATGAACAGGGAGGAGAGGGAGGAGGAAGGTAGGACATGACATGTGGCGCGCTGCGCGCGTCGTTAATTCTTGTCGCCCTCCGAGACCCGCTGGGCACATGCACTTTTGGCGCCCGCCATTTTTCGCGCAAGGCCGGGAAAAAGCACAAGGCCGCCAAATTTCAGGCAACGACGCGAAAGCGGCATCCGCGACGTTACTTTGGCACGGTTTGTCGTTATAACGGTTCTCTCAGCTTGATTGACGTTGCTTCGGTTTTTTTAAACCAACGTCGTCGCATGACACGGTCAATGGGCGGTCAGGGAAACGTTTCAAGCTTCGTGTTGAACGCTTCCGCGTTTCCCGGCTTGAGTTCACCCTCGCCCAACTGAACATACTCACATCGTTCGCTCCCAGAGCGTTCACTCTTTGTTGCTTGGTCCTTCTTGATATGATCAGAGCTACACAGTCCCTATGCCCTGCTCAGGACTAGAAAAATTGTCTCCAGGCCCCTTCATGATGCTAATGATGCACTACTCGGCGTCACTTACATCACTTGCATCACCAAACCACCTTTTCGATGCTTTCCTGACCCTACTTTTTGAACGCTCCCCACCGGGCTCAAGGTTCGACCTCCCAAAAGCGGAGTTTGCGCGACGACCAGCCCCCCAAACCCCCTTTATTCACTTCGTTCACCCTAAAAACTCCAGCCTTGCCTATCGGCTGGCTTCCGTGATATTTTTACGCAGGCATATATGGACAGAATAGACACACAGACACGCGGAATAGGCCGACATGACTGCAGCGGTCGCACAGTTGACTGGTGAAGTTGCTGTAGCCAAGGCCCCATGGAGAGAAGACTGCGTGGAAGAACGTAAAGGAACTTTCCGTGCGCATATCAAGAAGAGTGGGCACGCGTACTTCGGTCCTAGCAGAAGTTCGAAAGCTGAAGCACCGGAGGATGCCCAGACGTTACTGGCCGCGGCGAACATATCCGTCACGGCTTTGCCAGCAGCGGAGAACCAGTTCAGGCAGCAGCCTGGCGCACAAGAAGAATCTGTGGAAAAGGCAGTGCTGGAGGCTATGAGGTATTGGGCGCAGCAAGGCTCCACCTCAGACCTTCGAGGCACGTCCAGGGCACACACGTATGAGGCGCGCCGCGACTGGTTTGGAGCAAGCTCACATGTTCAATGTTGCGAAGCAATTGGTGGACGAACATCTGGAGATAGAGAGTTTTTCAAAAGAAGTTTCAGCCACGTGGTTACGGGAACTGGGCTTGCACTGGAGGCTTGACTACAGCAGTCGGCCCCGTGGTACTGCCGGTTTCACGGACCGGTTTTGGCAGACTGGTTTGCGCAATTTGGGGAACTCTTGCTTCTTGAACGCTGTCGTTCAGTGTATCCTTGCACGCCAGCCTTTACAGCGGGACTTGGCAGTGACTGCACCGAAAGGGCTGTTGCGCAAATGCGTGGAAGATGTGGCACAGCGGCTGAGGAGCGAGCAGTGGGATTACATAGCCCCATGGTCTTTGCTTCATCAGATGTACCTCACCGGCGCTGTGAAATGTCCGCCTAATTCGGGCTGCAGATTGTAGTGATTGCTGTGAAATTCTTTTGGCGAGGCCTGCATCAGCAATCGATTTTTTTTGTGTGGGCAGTGGGGAAGGTCTTCCAGGCAGGGTTTCGAAACACGAAGGAGGTAAAGATGATTGCGTCGTGGCGTCATGTGATATGCTCCAGACATGTCGGAACCATCGGTGACCCAGATGCCGATGGAGGCGGAGCGTCGTGCTGTCTGTGACCGTGGAAGAGTTGATGCGAGGCAATTTTCCACACGGATGGCCAAACTCGGACGCTGCCATCCTGCAATTGGAAAGCTACGAGGGTGCCTGGATAAACTGGAAGCAACTAGTAGCACAGTGCGGTGAACAGGACTGGGGCGATAACGCAGTTTGCCAAATACTGTCATGGTGGTCAGTGAGTGTTTGTTTGGATTTGGATTTGCTTGATGTTTTGTAACTACGCTCTGCTCATTTTGTCCACGCTCATGTTTTTGCGTTTGCGGGATCCTCATGTGACTGGTGCGCTCTATGTTGTCACAGGTTTGGTGGTGAATATAGCAATGGGCATTTTGTTGCATATGTGAAGCGCCAGACCGGCTGGATCAAATGTGATGACGCTGTCGTTACTCGTTTGGAAGCTGGCGTGGGCACGATGTGGCCCCGCCTCTTTTATTGTTGAGCTCATTGTTTTTTGCACTGCGCATTATCCACGTTGGTCCGCTTTTTCTAGCTGGTATGAGCTGCTGAGATGGCTGTCCAACTCAGGACAGCAGGCTTGGAGGTCATTGGCTTGGTCATGGGCATTACGTCGGTTCGGAGCGAAACGGATGAGTGGCTGTTGGATTTTTTTATTGCACAAACGAGCAGCGCCTTGCCGGTGTTGAGAAATCACATGACGGCCTGACACGTCTTCTTGCGTTTCCTGTTGTTCTTTGAAAGAAAAAAAGGTATGACATCTAACCGACCTACCACCCGTGCAGGCACACCCCAGTGCACAAACAGAGCGACGCCTAGCTGCGCGATTGAATTTGGCAGGTTCAAATGCTCAGTGCAGCGTGCAATACCACGACATGTTTTTGTCCATTGCCAAGACGTTGAACATGACTTCGTGGGACACTCCGCAAGACACCACTCCGTTCCGAAGCAAGCTTCGTGACATGGTTCGGAGTGCGCAGTGGCTATGCCGCTTCACATTTCGAGGCAACGAATACCAAGAGGTCATGGAACTTGATCTCCGCTACATGGAGCCTTGTTTGATGACCAGTGGAAATGACGTTCCTTGCTTTGAAAAGCTTCTACGCAAGGTTCCACATCACCATATGCATGCCGGATGTCCAGTGGTGGCTCTTCGTGAAGTGAAAGAGGAAAAGGAACTCAGGGTGTTTACTTACGGACAGATCGACGCCAACACACTCCGTGCTTTGGTGGCATTCAATGATGTGAACCTGGAAGATGAGGAGGCTTTGCAACAAGACCCACACACCGCTTCCGCCATCCGTGTGAAGAGATCACCCGATTGCTTGTTCTCCGCCAGCGCTTAGGGGACACCGGAGATACCTTTTCGAGTCAAGCTCCGTTGCGCCGGGCCCACTTCGGCGGTCAACTGGATGCTCCGAGCTCTGCCTGGTCAAGTCTTTCAAGTCGGGCTTGGTCAGACCGAAAGCCTCGGGGAATCTTCGGTCTTGTGGCAGGTACCGTTCGCAGTGGAACGGATTCCGGATGTGATCAGCTTTTGGAAGCACATCAGCGTCAATGAAGCTCAGGAGACAGGTTTCCACTTTGACAAGGAATGGAGCACTCCGTTGAAAAGTCTCCGTGGTATGCGAGAAGGTTTACCAAAAGAGGAACGTGACAGTGCCGCTTGGCAAGGAGGTGCTACTATGTCTTCTTGAAACGCAGAGCTTCTTTGAAGTGCTCTGCCCTCTTGCTGCGTCGTAGTGATCACGCATACGGGTTGAAACTCCTGCAGAGCACGGCTTGCATCTATAGTTCCACTGAGGAAGAGTGCGTCCAGACGAATGCTCAAACTTTGTGGCAACTAGTGCAGAAGGTTCCAGGCACACAGGTATTCAAGGTGTACCTGGTTCCTGTCGGGCAATATGTGGCTAAACGAAGGAAAAAGGAAGGCACTTGTGTCAAACTCCTGTTGAAAGCAGGCGGTGATGAAGATGATGACAGCTGGAAACATGTGGTCCCCGCAGTCCGAGTCGGCGTGACAAATCACCCGCTACTTTGTTGGAGACACATGGTTCTGTCAAGCGTTTGCGCCCGTCGATTGTTGCATATCGACTCCTCAGTATACTTTGTGTACAACGATATTTCATCTTCGTTTTGTTGCGCAAGCCAATTCTCACGAACTGCTCTCCCCGTCTCTCTTTGCGCGTTTTGGCTATGTGAGTCGCTATGACACAGGGAGCCGAATGCGCTGACACTAGCGAGCACGTCCTCGCCGTTCTGGCTGTTACAAAAAAACCTGCTATGATGTTACTGCGTTTTCAGGTCCAGTTCTGGTGCTCCAAAGCTTCGCGCAGTCACGTTACAGTACTGACGCAGGGTAAATTTATGTATGTAACAGTCGCGACAGGCTTCCATACTCAGAACCCTGTTGTGGTCACGAGACACCACGGATTTTGCCTCTTCTATATCTTGTTGCTTGTCGTGCCAATGAGACAGATGTATGTGTGTATATATAAATATATATCTATCTATATCTGCGGCGCAACGCGCGATGCCGCACTGTCAGGCACCTGGTCACACATACGACCTTTTCACTCACCGCTTCGATGATTGCACCGCAGGCTGGGGGCGAAGTGGCAGTCATAACCCTTTCACAGGAATCCCAAGAAACAACGGCTGGCTTTTTTGACATCTTTGCTTCGGCGTGTCACGCTACTACATAGATATATACCTGGAGCGCAAGACAGGGAAGGATGATGACAGTTTTCGTCACCATTTCGACGGTCAAAAGTGGTCATGAAAAATGACAGATATCTTCATGATACGCATGATGCAGGATTTCTTTCGGTCCATGAAGGGCTTAGCTTCAGATTTCTGAGAGATCGGCGACTGTTTAGCTTTCGTGTTCCGACCAGGCAGACGATCCGCGACGTCTGAAGTCGGTGTGACGTCTGAAGTCGTGTGTGCGGGGTGTTGGCATCGAACGGCCAGGTTTACTGACCAAGTGTGCTCCGGCACGTTGTCAGGCTAGACTCGACCTTCTGCTCGCTACGATGCGCGAGGGCAACCACAGGACGGCTCGGATTAATGATTACAATCTGTCACAGTCACATAGAGTGATCCTTTCACTTTTTCTCTTTCAATCTTCCATCGCCTTTGCCAGATACTCTGCACTACGTGGCAGTGCACAACGAACTGGCGCGCTGGACTTCTTCTGCAAAACTCATATTAAACGGACACGCAATGGAAGATGCACCCGCACACTCCGTCTCTCTCATTCCCTCACTCATTCTCTCAATCATACACTACTTCTTCTTTCACCTCACTGTCTCTTTCATTCACCTTTATTGTATCTTGCTGTCCTCTTTTCTGATCAGTCGTATCTTGCTGTCCTCTTTTCTGATCAGTCTCTACTTCTCATTACTACCACTCATCACATACAACTCATCACACATCACTCATCTCATTTACTTTTATCGTCCAGAATCTTTCCGTCCTCTATCCTTCTCAGTCTCTACTTCTCGTTGCTAGTTCTGACAAGCTTAACATGTGGGGTTATCCGGTCCTTTTATTGCTCTAATGACACCGGGGTTGTCCATATCCATGGGGACAAATCTCATCCACGAAGGTAGGAATGCTGACTAGCCACACAGCTGCGAGAAGGACGACGGAGTGTGATGCCAAAACCAAAAGCTTCAGAAGACTTATATATTTTTCTTGATCTTGCATGACCCAGACCCACCTCATTTTCTGGTGCTCAAGGGCAACGTTCTGCACCACATCATTTAGTTTCAGAGGAAGTCCATATTATGGAAATCCCACACCACATTTTTTGGTGCTTGGTGGGGTTCAGTTTGAGGATTTCTCCCATCAACAGCAGGGTTTTGCTCCAAGGAAATCCAAACAAATGAATGGTGAGAAAGTTCTCTCCATTTAAATGACTGTTCTACTGGGGTGATGGAAGTACTCCACTTGGACCTGCAAAGGCTGATCTGAACACCAAAATCAAGTGCATCTCACCAGGTAAGCAGGGGAATGAGCTTATGATTGCAAGACTGTGGCTCCAATCGTGGCAACAGCGCCCCAAAGCTGGGGGGAGGAGCGTCGGATTTCCGTGCTTCGCCCGGTTTCCGGGCGAAATGTTGTTTGTTAATACAACTGATTGAGGAATCCGAAGCAACTAAAGCTAAAGCCGCGGTGCTTTCCCTCTCTGTCACAAAATCCACCTGTTTGCTGGTCTTTCCAGTTGCAGGAGTAAATAGTATACGGCCAACGGTGCACCGAAGTCCCCATACCCCCCCCTAACAAAGAAGAACTCCCCCACTAGTTGTCTTCTTTGGATGAGCTCCTTTACCACGTCCTATCTTGCTCCGCCTATTACGTTTTGTATCGATCCTTGCCCCCAAAAAAAAGGGGTCGGCGGCACCAGGGCGTTAGCCCTACTTATAACTTACCATGGGCAACTTGCTTGAAGTCACCATCCTCCCTACCGCCTCAGCTACAACTAAAGGCCAATAATTTAGTACTGCACTGGCTCAGCTGACGCCCAATCTGTTCCACTCCTTCCTGGTTCCTGCCGTGACGATTCTAACCTAATAGCAATGGCCTCCAACCAACTAGCGATGGCCTCCAACCTACAGTAATAGCGGTGTTGTTTGGTTCCTTTCGAACTTAAACATGAATTGCCTTTTGTTCCTGATTCCTGACACCAGCAGCCATTCCTCCCACATCAGTCCTGTTCCTACCGTCGGTGTGTTCTATATTGCCCCTGCGGATGTTGTAGTCGAGGCCAGTGAACACCCGGGCGAAGTTCATGATGTCCTCTTGCCCTTAGCCAAAGCCCTTGTTTCAGTTGCACAATCAGATCATGATAAGTTGCACTACACGTAATCTTGGTCCGCGACAATCCCATGTCGAGGCAAGGCGCCCCTTCTCGAACAAAAGTAGCAGCAAACAGAGTAAGAAGAACTGGATTGAATTGGTGCTTACCCTCGAGGAGCATACACCCTAGATGAACCTTTTTTCGTTTGCCATCGCATTCCGAATTGCATTGGGTGGACAGCCGTTGGTAGATATGTTGTGAATTGTGAACACATGGTACACAACATTGGCCTCACTGGCCAATGTTGGGAAGCTTCCGGTCCCCTAAGCACCTCCCAGTCCCAGTCCCAGCAAAGCAAATCGACTCGGAGGATCGATCGGAAGAATCTCCTCCGGAGTCCGTCCTCCTGTCCGTCCTCCGTCCGTCTCCTTCATAAGCATCGGTTTGCTTTTTAACAGAGATGCTGTTAGTCACAAGGATCTTGTAAAACATGCATTTTTAAACACACCATGAAACTCATGGAACCTGCGCCTACATACAAGTATCCTTATCTCCAACCCTCCAACCGATCAACCTCCCAACACATCATTCACACCTTGCGGCGTTCATTGCGCAAAAACTCGTTTGCTGCATGAAATGAAGTAGCAAACCTGACGCTTTTTCAGCGGGCCTGTCAGTCCAAGCCACCATAGCTGGCGATGGGTTCACCTTCCTCATTCAACTTCCAAGAGCCATCCGGATTCAGTTTCCAAAGGCCTATGGTAAATAATTGCATCACCTGGCAAAGGCCGTGAAGGAGGGTTCTTTGACACCTCAGGCTTACGTGCTACTTCTGCTGAATTGCCAAGCAAAAACAAGAAACGCATACAAAGGAGACAATCAGCCCACGACGAAACAAGGGATGTTGCAAAAGATCCTAAAATGGTTGAAGGATGACAAAAGAGTTTCTTTTGCGAAACCATACCCCGATCCCGACATCACAATCTATATTTCACCATCCACCGACTGAGGTCGGACCGGAGATACTCCTCCGGGTTGGGCACATACTCCGTCGATCCGCCTCGCGAGCGTAGTTCTCGTTGGGTTCCCTGCCAGTGCGATCCTTGGCCCGGTTCCCTCGGGCGTTCAAAAAGCCTCCCATCTCAGCGTTGTAGGTGACTTCGCGGAGGATATCGCGGAGGTTCCCGAAGGCGTGGCGCACGAAGATGTCGTAATAGTTCACCCACGCCTCCACCTGTCATTTCCGCACGTGGAAACTAGCAGCTGTGATGGGAATTTGTTGCCAGCTCCATGTGGACACTTGCATTGATCTAACGAAAATTCAGCAGCCAAGCCAAACCCAGGGGCTGTCAAAGTGGGAATTCCATCGCCCCTTTCATCCCAGGACCCACCGTCAATTCTCCATCGGACGATGATATCACCATAGGACCACGAACAACGAGATCGACTCGTTCAAGCCTGGGGATCATACCGCACTAACTACGCAGCCGCAGCCAGGGAGAAGATATAAAACGATTTGAAAAAATATTGTCTTGCGGCTGTTTGTTCTCATTGTCTATGTTAGCTTGCTTAATCGCGTGTCACCAACTACAACTTTGACTCACTTGATTTTGCTCATTGGTGGTCAATGTGTTGGAAAACTCCTACACTTGAGTCCTGCTACTTGCAGGACTGGTGTCGTGGTGCAAGATTCCAATAATAAGACATGTGTCAATGCGCTAACCCAACATTGCAGTTTGCATTCCGTTTGAGTCAGCATCAAGACACACACCTGCCAGCTGCATGTTCCATGCGAATCTGTATGTCTGTATGCGCCGGGGTCGCCCGTCCCTCAAACCCCAAGCACCTCCGTGCCCAGTCCCGTTCCACTGAGCAAGTCGGTCAGCAGTTGGAACTTCTTTCGGCTCAGTCGGTCCCAGCGGAGGTGAGCGGAGCCTTTCAGAATATGTCCAGGCGGCCCTACATCTTTGACAAACTCTTCAGGTCAACCTAGATGTTGAGATGGAGATCCACGAGATCGCGTTTGGCAGGACAGTTATAAAATCATGTCAGGTCAACGCCGTCAACTAAGGCGCCACAAAGGCTGCAACTGCAGCAGGCGCAGCGGTAGCAGCTGTGGATGTTCCAGCACCTCCTTTACCCACAAGGGCGAATGGAGGTGGCTTGAGTAGTGGCCTGGCTACAGCAGCTTTTTGTGAAGGGTTGAAGCAGGCCGGACATCGCAGCTACCGTCATCGCTACGGCTACCGTCACTGTATTCTTTGCAATGGAAGACGCATTAGCTGAAGCTGAAGTCAAGAGAGCTTTGCTTGTTGTCAGTTTGTTGAGGGACACTGCCTAGGATGCTGTTGGGCAAGTAGACTTGAAAGACCTCTCAAGCAGCACCACTCCTTTTCAATGTCTTTTTGTAATCTTGGTGAATTGTTTCACAAGGGGGAGCAAATTCACACTCCACGTAGATGCTAAGAATTTTACAGAAGCTTCAATCGACCCAAAGGCAAGGAGTTTGCTTCTTTTCTTGTTCAGGTTGATGATGATGATGATGATGATGATGATGAGCCCATCTTGAATCAGCTTGCATTGGCAAAGCGCCCCGCCACCGACACCGGCAGTCGACTTCGGAATCCTTCGCGACCCAACGGTGGAAAAGAACCGCAAGCTGATGCGTTCGGGGCCCAGGAGACAAAAGGACCAGTGATGAGCCAGTGATGCCCATTCCGCATCGATTGTGGAACGACTGTCTTTTTGGCTGTCGGAGAATGGAGAAAAGGAGAATCGGAGAGCAAGAAGACCGACACCAACGAGTGAATGGCGCAAACGAGCACAGCCGAGCACAGCCGATGGAGAATGGGAAAGACAGCCGTTTGCGCTGCATTGCACAGCGCCGTCTAGGTCGCTTTGTGCATGTCTTTCGCACTGCACGAGCTCGGAAGCAGAAAGTTGAGCATGCAACCTGCTTTTCGATTTCGCATGTCAGTTTGCAATAGTTTGCATTCTAGTAGAGTTGAGAGCTACCGTGGGAAGCGTGCGTAGCTTTTCCCGATGGAAACCATTGCATTCTTGTGCCAAACCATTGAACCTTACCGCTGCGCGCATTTCCTGAGTTGGAAGTCACGGCCCACCATGCCAATATGTATACAATTGATGTGTGTTCGAATCGATGGATTCGCTTCGGAAGAGTTTCTTTCTTCGCTTGAAAGAACGTCGCCCCTCCGCTTCATCTGCCCATGTTTCACGAGTCGTCGAGTCAACACCCACTTCCCAGCCACAAAGACCCAATCAACGCCTCCGGGTCATGCTGTGCACGAATGACGTAGATCTGTGCCAAGGCCCAGGCCATGCGTTGGCGCAGCTGGTCTTTGGCATAGAGCGCATGCATAGTCCATACCTTTTGGCTGTTTTGGATTGCTTCGTGTCACCAGGGGGCAGGGTGGAATGGCAAGCTTGACCGGGAAAATACGGGGCCCTAACAGTCGCCAAAAAACTTTACAAAGATTACAAAGTATCTACTGGTTCAAGTGAGGCGAAATCATTCGATGAGCGCTCATTGCCTACTCTCATACAGACTCATACAGTAGACACTGCAAGGCTGCTCTTGAAAGCAGTTCGAGGCTTCACCTGGTTCAACCGTTCTTCAAGCCCTTCAAGCCCTGAACCCTGGTTCTTATAACGCGGTGTTTGCTCATCAACGCGGATGAGAATCTCCCTCTTGGTGATCTTTTTTGGGGTTGACCAAAGAGTTCAGGCTGTCAGATGCTTGGGAGTGGCCTTTTTACAAACATGACGCACACATACACATGTGTCTTACAATGTGTCATACATAGCGTGCATGCGTCACAAATGTCTCTCCTCGATGACTCTCCTTGGCTGCGAGGTTCAGTCGTCTTACCCAGTCTATCGATCATGGCGAAGTCGGTGTCACCGTCGATGTTGGAATCGCCTTAGCAAAATCGCCGTCAACTATCAACTATCAGGTTGATGATAGCTCCACAAATTGCTCATCAGACTTGAATGGTCAAATTTTTCATGATAGGGGTCGTGATGATGCTGCAGCTACTGCAGCTGCACTGAATCCAACACGTTCTCAATCGTGTGATGGCCATCATACAGCCTGCAGTCCTCAGAATTAATAAGTCTACTATCCTCACCTTCAACTTAATAGCGATGGCCTCGAACCTAAGAGCGATGGCCTCCAACCTAAGAGCGATGGCCTCCAACCTAGTAGCGATGGCCTCCAACCTATATAATAGCGATCTCCATTTCATCGCGTATGTACACAGTGTGGTTGTTTGTCGGAGTACTTCCATACAACAGGGGGATGTGTCATGTGCAAAACTCCTGGCACCGTGGATGTGCACATAGATCCACCTGCTAAGACTTGGCAATGCTAAAGCGTCCTGAAATGTGAATCTCAAGATGACAAATAGACAACACAAATTCTACGGAGTGAAACCGCGTGTTATTTCGCCCAAAAAAATGCACTGGAAAGCATGAAGAGAACACAGGATGATGTCCACGCCGATTGTGAATTGCAGATATCCAAAAGGCCAAAAATCATTGCCCCACCAAAGTGTCCTACTTGCGAAGTTGGATTGCCTTCGTTGTTGGGTAGGTTTCGTCCAAGGCTCCATGGTGATCCTGGAGGAAGGTATACTGGTGTCCACGCCACGGGTCATTGGCAACTTCCCCAGGAGAGCCACAGACTTCCTGGACAAATCCGAACCCACCACTTCGTGCGCGGAGCAGAAATCCAAGACGCCAAGCCAAGATGCCAATTCCGAGATCATGCGAACAACAAACAACACCCAAACGTCCGTCAACAAGGGCTGAGTTGGGTCGCTCCGAGGCACTGAATGAGGGGCGAGAAACACACGATGGCACGATGGCGCCCGGCGGTGACATGATGATTCCAGCGGCCCAGAATCACACTCTTGACGATTGACAACCTTTTTTCAGGCTTGGGTCCACCCACGCATCCTACGCTACACCAGTCAACTTGTGGACTCACAGCGGGTGGTTGACTGAAGCATGTCCACGCGAACTTGACCCACCACTCAGCCAGGTTGCTAGAACCTACTGATTCTCCCCAAGAGGGGACTGCCCACACAAATACTCCTCGAAGTCAGTAGATCATGAACAGTCTGCGTGATTGTACATGGCGCACCCGTCTAAAGAAACTTTCACAGCCTGGCCGAAAGGCAAGACACTGCGAAAAGCTAGTGAAAGCTGATTTTTGGTCCAGTGAGCTCAAGGGATCTTTCGGTACTGGTCACAGAAAAATCCATAAGTCCATAATCCATACCATGCTTTCGCTTTCTTCGCCGGTCCTCTTTCGGCATATCCCACCCAGCCAAACCGTCATCGCCCATCGTCCGCCATTCGCCCAGATTCTGAGAACGTCAGATCCTGCTTCGACTCGCCCAAGAACGACGCCATAGTCGGCGTCTGCATGGACTCTGGGAGGTTGTGGAAGTAGACCGTCTCTCCATATCTTCCAACGAAGTTCGGCTGAACCACTTCTGCGGCCAAACCACCTTGCGAAAACAAGAGCAGCACGGTTCTTGTTTCACGCCTTAAAATAGACTTTGAAATGTGAATTCCTAGCATTTCTTCCTGTGAATGCCCACAAGAAAATCAACAAACCTACCTCAGGAAGCACAACGTTCAAGTTTCCAAAATCAATTACACTAAATCCAGACTTTTCCTGCAAAGGGATCTCATTTGTTGCCCTGAACTCAGCTGACTGCGTACTTTGGGATCAATTGATTCCACCATCTCTCACATACATAAACACGGAAATTCCAACCTGTGTTGGTGACAACTCTTGGTGGCAACTATATCACACATTACAACCCTTGCCAAAAAGCACCTCCCAAGCCTCTGCGATTGCCCATAGATTGGGCAGTTGAGGAATCAACCAAGGATCCGATGTGTGTTGATGACAACAGAAACCCATCTAACTTGGAACACTCGCAGAAAGTTTAAGAAAAAAAACACTGCAAACCCAAGTCGCGGTCCCACCGGTCCATGCCATGCCATGAGGGGAAGGCCAAAATGAAGCCAGTGCTTGCAAACCTGGAAACACAGGCCGAGGCGCTGGCGTCCCAAATGCTGGGGTGACCCTCTTAACGGAATGCTGGGGTTTGCTATCAACGGAATGCGTGTAGACCTGTAGACCGAAGTAGCAAAAACAACTGACTACATTGGTTGCCTAAAAATAAGCCAGCAGGGTGTGTTTTTGCGTTCAGCCCCAGTTGTTTGGCTTTACTTACAGCATGCAACATCGGAACGACACAGTGTTATTTTATTGTGTGTGATCCTTGTACGAACTTCCATCGCTTTGATGAAGCCTGCCTCCACAAAGGTTCGGTCAATGCCCAACGTTCATGTGTCACTTGTTCACTGTTGCCAGCTGTCTTACGAAGTCACGGATCTTGCCGTGCGATTTGCGACTTAACACGGACATAGTATCAAAGTCATTGCACTCAAGCTGTCGCGGCTTCTTCGCTCACGTTTCATAACAAGCGCACTCAGCAGCGGCGCGCAGGGACACCACCGCCCAAGCTCCCAAGAGCACACAGCAGCGGCACCCTGCAGCAGCACCAGCACCCAAGCGCACAAAGCAGTGGCACCCTGCAGAGGCACCCAAGCCCCCAAGCGCGCACTGCAGCGGCACCTTGCAGCGGCACCCCGCAGCGGCACCCGCGCCCAAGCTCCCAAACGCACACAGCACAGCACCCTGCAGCGGCACCAGCAGCCAAGCTCCCAAGCCCACCTGCAACAGCACCAGCCCCAAGTGCACACAGCAGCGGCAGCCTGCAGCAGCACCAGCACCCAAGCTCCCAAGCGCACACAGCAGCGGCACCCTGCAGGGCAGGCTGGAAAGCGCACACACGCCGCTCTCCCTATATTTGAAGTAAGAACCACAATATCAATAGCTCTCGCTATCTGGGGAAAAACGATTGCCCTTTTCTTTGTGGTGTAAAGCAGAACTCTCATCGACTTGCACATTATACGTTTCCTTCCCCATCTCCACACAGCACACAGTCGGAGGGCTGCGTGATTCGTGAGGGCCCGCCAGGATGATGGAGAACCCAATCGGTGAAGTCGTAAACGTTGTTCCTTGGACCCAATGCATGTGCTGAGGTGACAGAATGTTTCATGCGCAATGTGGGCCTAACCTGAAGACAAGTTGCAATTGCACAAAGAATAAGCAACTGAGGAATAAGTCTGTAGTGAATTTGAAAAGTGTTTCACCCATCAACTTCCGAATTGCCGGAAAGCAGCAATGTTGATATGTCCGCATTTTCCATGCAAGCCTACTTACAGGCCCTGTTTAGAAAGCGGTGCCATGGGTGGTCAATCCCAATGGGAGGCGTCGACAGCGGCTGTCGACGGTCTGGGACCTACGAGGTCGGCCACGTCGTCGTTGGACCAAACATGGCCCCTTCCGTTCAAAAACCTATGGTTGACCTGGCGTTGTAATCTACAAATCCGGTCAAGTCCTTGGCAAAACAAAGCAGGTCTGGCAAGAACCATTATATAGATCAATGGTGGGTGGAATTGTAGGGTAGTCAGGACCACCAAATCGTCCAAGAACCCCAATTTTGGGGAGTCGATTGGACACGGTCGGCGTCTGATTCGGTAACCAACCGGTCTGATTCGGCATCTATGATTCGGTAACCAAAGCCCGCTGATTCGGTAACCAAACCTGCTGATTCGGTAAGCAAAACAGCTGATTCGGTAACCAAAACCGCTGATTCGGTAACCAAACCTGCTGATTCGGTAAGCAAAACAGCTGAATCGGTAACCAAAGCCCGCTGATTCGGTAACCAAACCTGCTGATTCGGTAAGCAAAACAGCTGATTCGGTAACCAAAACCGCTGATTCGGTAACCAAACCTGCTGGTTCGGTAACCAAAACCCGGAAACCAAAACCAAAAACATGTTCAAAAAGAAGAAACTGATGATTCGGGTAGTAGTAGTAGTAGTAGTAGTAGTAGTAGCAGTAGCAGTAGCAGTAGCAGTAGCAGTAGCAGTAGCAGTAGGAGTAGTAGTAGTAGTAGTAGGAGGTGGTGGTGGTGGTGGTTGTGGTTGTGGTGGTAGTGCCACCGATGCAAAATCTCTCCACGAAGCAACAAGAGAAACGTTATCTTGGTCATGATTCCCCCCCACCCCCCACCCCACACTCCTGTAAAAGCCCTTTGCATCCACATGGAACGTCATTATCTTGGCCATGATTCCCCCCCCCCGCCCCACACTCCTCCTACCCTCCACTCTGTTCAGCCACATGCTGTTGACAAACTAATTCTTACTTGAATGAATGTAAAATCCCTTTGCATCCACATGGAACGTTATTATCTTGGCCATGGTTTCCCCCCCCCCCCCCCCCACCCCCCCACCCCACCCTCCTCCTGCCATCCACCACTACTTCTTACTCGACTGAGTGTAAAAGCCCTTTGCATCCACATGGAACGCTATTATCTTGGCTTAGTTTCTGAACAGTCTAACTTGGTTTCTGAATCGACTGGTTTGGTTTCTCAATCGGCTGTTTTGGTTTCTGAATCGTAGTTGCCTGATCGGTTGGTTTGGTGGGTGGAATTGTAGGGTAGTCAGGACCACCAAATCGTCCAAGACCCCCAATTTTGGGGAGTCGATTGGACACAGCGAATGGTTGGTACGCTGTTCCTGTGCGGGCGGGGTTTTCCCAGGTTTCTCATTGTTCCATGATTTGTCTACTTGAGCTGGCTGTAGTGGAGGGTTGTCTACTGCTGAGATTTGGAGAGCTTCGCTGGATGAACATGGACATCCTTCGGCGTCGTTTTGATGTTCCTCTTGCTTCACGGTTCGGACGCGTTTTAGTGTTTGTAGGGGGTAGTTCCATAATCTGATGGATCATATCGAAATATAATATAAGTATAAGGGTTCCTGGATTCCAAATATGTCCAAATCTCCAGGTGGGGTAAGGGATCAAAAAAAAATATAAAAAGAATCAAAAAAAATATTCAACGGGGATCAATAAAAAAAATAAAAAGGGAATCAAAAAAAAATATTCTAGCCCACTGAGGATGGTTGGGGTAGTAGTAGTAGTAGTAGTAGGAGTAGCAGTAGCAGTAGCAGTAGCAGTAGCAGTAGCAGCAGCCGCAGCAGCAGCAGCACCAGCGTAGCAGTAGCAGTAGCAGCAGCAGCACAGGACCAGAGGACCAGGAGACCGGAGGACTAGGGGACCAGTGGACTGAAGGACCAAGGGACCAGGGGACCAAAGGACCAGTGGACCAGAGGACCAAGGGACCACATTACCAGAGGACCCGCAGACCACAAGGCCAGGAGAGCAGCAGAAGAGGCCTATCAAGGAATATTTATTTTTTGATCCTGTTTTTATTGTTTTTTTGATCCTGTTTTTTTTTTGATGCTCTTTTTATTTTTTTTGATACCTATGCCCTCCAGGTGTATCATTTGTACCTTTACATCATATTGATATGTCCAGCTCTTAGTTCCCAAATCTTGGAGGTGTCCGATTTGGACCGTTGACAACACACGCCTCCCCGTGAAAAAACACGTGTCGAATTTCTCTGAACACGGTCCCCATTTGCCGTCCCCCTGCGGTCCCCATTTGCCGTTCATGCGTCTCATCTCCATGGACGTGCTGAAAGAAGTCCTCACGAACCTGAACGGTCACGCCCGGATCCACTCCCGAGCAAAAGACGTCGATGTCACGCACATCTCCTCGGCAAGAGGATGGAGGCCATCGCTCTTAGGATGGAGGCCATCACTACAAGGAGGGAGGCCATCGCTCTTAGAAACAAAGGAAGAAAGGAAGAAAGGAAGGAAGCAAGGAAGCAAGGAAGGAAGGTCTGAAAAGACTTCCATGTCCCGCACATCTCTTCGTCACAAGCTTGTGTGAAGAATGTTCAGCTTCGAGAAAATCGGTCGGCACACTGACCTAGCCGACCTACGTGGCAATGTGGTTGAAAGAGGTTGAAGCGAGTTGGACGCGTTGCTAGTGACATGCTGTTCTAGCTGCTTGATTGGAGGGCATGGTAATCCAAATCACAAGGAACAAAAATAACGGTCTTACTTCTTGGATGAGTTTGATCAACCTGCCAAGGAGACAGTCAAGGGAATGCAGCCAGATTATTGAGCCATCTTCGCGCAGGAACAACCACTGAGGGAGCAAGGGGTGCATGGGTGCTGGAATCCATGCAGGACGCTTCTGTCGTCTAATGATCCATTGATCGTCTGAAATAATAGCCTTTCTGGAGAAATCGTGCGTCTAACAGTTTTACATGAGGCGAAATCAAGCACTGTGGACCGTGGAAAAGTGCAAATCCATTTCCGAGCGGGGATGGCCTCGCCACTCCACCCGTTCCCCCCACTCCTTGCTGCTCCTCGTTCGCCAATGCAAGTGACAGCTGCTCGCCAATTCCGCCCTCCAGGGAGGATGCTGTGCAGCCTGCGCCACAGCTCAGTTTCTTCCACCTCAAGTCAAGTCTGAAGTCTGTGATTGTGAGCATAGATAGCTTGTAGATGGGATTTGTCCGAGGAGCCTACTGGAGTACTTCTGAACCGGCGGGCGCTCGGTTCTGACGACAGGTTCAACTGGTTTAAGTTTAATACTTCCCGGAAAGTATGCAAGAAAAAGGCTCCAAACAAAGAAAGCACAGTCCAATCTACATGTGTATATTCACCAAATGGCCACAAGATCATGGAACACATGATTCCAAGAGAAAGTGATTCCCTTCCGTTCGGAAAACAAGATCAATTGCACTGCACAGCCAGAAAAAAACCCTGATGGAACAATTTCTGCATTGTCTGGGAATATCTCCAACGCTGTGCAACTTCCTCGCAGCCCACATCGCCCAGTCCACAACCCATCGATGATTCACAGCGCCCATTTCTTCACCCTTCTCTTTTGCAAACTCTTATGGTCAAGGATTCTAAACCATTTGGTTCAGGATGCCTGGAAACTTCGGGAAGCTTTTGGCGCTAAGCCCCCACACCCATGCATGTTCTGTTCATGGATGTGTAAGGTGTTGTTTCCATCGGAAGATGGGCTTGCAAATCCCACCTGGAGATCTTGTCACACGGCGAAGCAGTGGCACGCAAACCAGAGACCACGTAGACATACCTGCATGCATGGATTTCTTTAACATGTGGTATGACAAGAAGAAACGCAAAAAAACATCAAATTGTGATTGACAAGGAGAAGCAAAAAACGAAACATATCCCCTACAACAAGGATTGCCAGCTGGGCAACATTTTCCAAGAAAACACATTCACGGCACCTTGACGCAAAAGCCGTTTGACTTTGAGCTGAAGTTTGATGCCCAAAAGCCGTTTGTGGAGTTGCAATTGGGAATGTGGAAGTGCTCTAAAGGTTTTGTGTATGAGCCTGGTGACTCATAAGTTTACGAGAAAACTTGTCTGCTAAATCCTTGCTAGAGTTTAGTGGAAAATGTTCTTATGCAAAAGTTTACCAGCGTAGACCCCAAACAGTTTGTGTCTTTATGAAGTAAGCCAAAGACGAACTGTCAAACAGTCAACGGCTCAAACAGTTCCAGGCTTGTTCCAGCGCTTGGCTCAATTGGCTCAAGGTCGGGACCAACAATTCATACGAAAACAGAACATATGCTAGTCTATTCAATATGCTGTGTTGTACTGACATGTGGCTTTATCAACCACAAGCGAACCCGGCCAAGGCCAAGAGTATGTAATGAGGAGACAAGCAAGAGACAACCCCTGCAAAGTGAATCCAGAGTAGTCTGAGGCAAGCGGAGACAAGTGCAACAAGAAGGGAGACATGTGAGACAAGTGTATATAGTGCAGAATCACGCGGCCCAGAGCGCCCAGAGTGTACCGGGACAGAAGGGAGACAAGTAGGAAACCCGTGTAAAATCATGCGGCCAGTGTACTGGAGATAAGGGGGCGCAAGGGACTGGAGACAGTGGGAGACAAGCGGGAGACAAATGGGAGACAAGTGGAAAATCATGCGGCCAAAGCACCCGCAAGCGAGTGGAGACAGTGTGGCAGGAACGTAGACCCGGAGACAAATCATGCGGCCCGGACATGCACCTCTTTCAAAGGAGTAAGAACCCCTCAAAGGTAAACCTGTTTGGGGAACAATCTAAAAGAACTATATAAAAACAAATAAATATATATATATATATATGATCCTTGCCCCCCTAACTCAGCCAGCAGAAGCGCTCTTTTGCAA